TGTCAAAAACAGTTATAGGGGTGTTGCCCTCGCTAAGCTTATAAATTAGCAAAGATTTAGGGAGAGTATGAGAGTCGAGATTTAGTTCGAACTACGACTCCCGTATACCGAAATTTACATTTTTGACAGACGGGGATTTTTTAGTGCTTAGTGCGAATTCTCAGAATCACCCATAGTGTTGTATCACGGGTCCTGAGCAATTCAGTGATTTTGTTAGTTCACCAGAACTTAAAATTTTCAGGATATCAGGCATCCTAAGGCATTTTTAAGCTGTGAGAGCGTGAATGTGAGGTCTCTCTGGATCTTCTTCGTTCAGAGGAGTTGTTCGGATCAATACCTGCAGCTGAATTGCATCATCGGGTTAAGAACACGAAATTCCACCGGTATCACCTCGACGTCCATCGTTCCACTACAAAGCGTTTAGGCAGTTTTTGCCGTGCGCCACCACTATATGGAACCTGCTACCAACTGAAGTATTTCCGAACCAATTCAATTTTGGGTCATTCAAGAAAGCGTCCCAATTCTCAAAAGGACGGAAACGCGAGCCCTATGGCATTGAGTGTCCATGGGCGATATCAATTAACATCAGGGAACCATCTGATAACTAGAAACAATTAATATCCCTTTTACACTCTCTCACGTTTGTGCTCATCGTTTAATGGTCCAGTTAACAGTTTGTGTCATATTTACAATAAAAAGGTGGACATTTTCAGCAACTCCAAGTTTTTAGTAAACTAGCTTTGTTAATTATTTACTATTATTATTCTTTTCTATTGCCTATATAATTATGTATATACATTGTAAATTCGCGGATGCTTGGTGGACCCATGCGACTTCAAAGAACAAAGAGATATTGCGGGCTACTCGATTGTGAGAAAGCTGCATTGGTAGCGCTGCGCCTTCTTAAGCTCTCATGTCATTTGTCACACGTGGATATGCTTTCTATAACATATTTTCATTAGAGCAGTGTAGGCCTAGTGGCTTCAGCGTGCGACTCTCATTCCTGAGGTCGTAGGTATGATCTCCGGCTGTGCACCAATGGAATTTCTTTCTATGTGCGCATTTGACATTAGCTCGAACGGTGAAGGAAAATATTGTGAGGAAACCGACATGTCTTAGACACAAAAAGTCGACGGTGTGTGTCAGGCACTGGAGGCTGATACACCTACTTGCCTATCAGATTTAAAAATTATCATGAAACAGATAGAGACATCTGAGGCCCAGACCAAAATACATATTTTATTAACATATTTACATAAGCATCTGATATCCTCATTTTAACATTTGAGACCAAATATAAAATACAATAAAAACTATACTTTAGAATTTAATACACATTGAAATTGATATCTACTTTCTAACTTAGTGAATTAAACTTTTTGTGTATAAAGTACGCGGTCCATTGTACTGTTTGTTTTGACTATCCGTCGTCATCGACCCGAAATAATTTTATATTTTCCCGAAGGTGACAACCCTACGATAACCTTTACAGTTTACACCCCACACGAGGGGAACTAGTCGTTTGGAAAACAATAGTCACGCCCTGTTATTATACGTTTAGCGGAATCATTTGTTTTTTTCTAAACTAGCTGGTGCTCATTGAAAAAGGGTTTATGGAATTTATTACGATTTTAATCTTAACTTAAATTTGTTTAACATCACTTTTAAATAAAGAAAAACAACGATCTTTTTAGTTTTCATCTATGTTGTTATGTTAAAATAGGGTTGGGTTTTGAATACCGTCGTACTTTTTTTATGATACTAACTATTTAGGAGTCTCGGGGGACCTTCATTGGAACACCTCCAAGTGGTTTTTGCTGCAGATAACGCGTCTAAGTATTTTTTAATAAAAATTTTAAGTTTTGTGAAATGTATTGAAATTTGTAAACAATCCGCCATTTTCTACTTTTCTATTGGTTATTGATGCGACGTTTACTTTAAAAAATCGTGTTTTTAATTTATCGATTCTTAATAATCGTTTTTTTTATTTATCGATTATTTCCACATTTTTTAAATTTAAAGTTATAGAATAATCAACATTGAAATTAACCTAATTTCGTGTTGATAGATTATAGGGTTCCGAAAATTTTTGAAATTATCGATACCTACTCGTCTGTATTTCCTAATTAGTACTTGTATTTCATTGTTTGCAACTTTCTATATTATTTAATTTTTACTAGAATAAAGTGTTTACTTTAATATCCAAGAAGTACCCAAAACCGAATCAGAGCACCCTAGAGAGCTTTCATAATGCCTGTGCTTTTGTACGCAAGGGTGGAGGAGCTGCATTTCCCGTAGCGCCGGAGCTGTCCAAAAAAACAAATATTATTTAGATCGGTTAGGTTAGGTTAGTATATGAATATTTATTTTTGAAATAACTGTTCAACTGAAACTGATCAACTATGATTGATTTTCAATTATTTTTAATACAAAAATCGATTTTCACTTTTAAAGAAATCGATTATTTTTCACATCCCTATTAATTTTATAAACGCAAACGGCCATTTCGAATGTGGATTTTGCTAGAACAGTGTGTGAACAGTCTTACAGTGCAGAATATCCGTTAGAAATCCGTTACTTAAATAACGATTATTAACAATCGATTAATTAACACGTTCACTGCGCCATCATTTTTAAAGAACTTTCAGCTGGTGCGTTGGAGACCTAAAAGATCTCGTAACAAGCCTATCCTCTGGTGCGTTTGAGACCTAATCAGTCTCCTAAAAATACACTTTTGAAAATAATTTATATCTTCCAAAAAAACAATGACATATATTTTGAATTTTTTGTGGGTGAAAGATAGCTAATTGCTTTATATTTTGCTAGGTTCGCACGCAGTTACGACATTTGAATAAACTACAAATAACAAAAAAAAATTAGATATCGATTGTATCTCGTACCGCACCCGAAGATAGTTCAATATGTGTAGTAAGTAGTGATGGGAATAAAATAATATCTCAGTTATCGATTCTAAAAGTTTTATTAATTATGCAAAGTGTTTTTCATTAAAACATGGTAGGTAAACACATTGATTGCTTGCACATTACGCGCAAATGGTAACAATTCGTTTAGTTTTTTTAGAAGCGTCAGTGCTGTTTAACTGCGTGTGCTCCAACGAAAAAGGTTTATCGTTAAATATTTCATAATCAGAATCACTGTCATTATTAGTCAATGCGGGGCAAATTTGAACATTTTCCAAATCAAATATTTTACTGGACGATGCAGCAGTATAATCCGGCGTTGAATTTTTGTTAGAAACCTCACCAATAAAATAGATTTTTTACACTTTTTTCTTTTAAACTTAATCACTCATTGTTTATCAAAAATAATCAACACGCTGATATATACGCGAGTGTAATTTCCAAAACGTGCCCGCAACTTCCCAAATGTCGATTCTAGGACAACACTAAAAATCCCATCCTCCATCTCTTGCGTCTACGAGGCGTACGATTTCACGAGTACCGACATATCTCCTAACGCAAGGAATTAAAACAATTACAGTACTGTGCGTTAGGGACCTAATCCATCTCTAATTTTTTTTTTAAAGTCCTTGAATTCAGCTTTAAGTAGGAAGAAAATATATATATTTGTCCTGCTCATCCTTAAAGAACTTTACAAGTTAGACCCTCCCGCAAGGAGTGAAAAAACACGATTATGTTCAACGCACAATACAAAAGTCCTGCAAGAGATCTGATAGATCTCGTAATGCAACGAACGTGTTAAAAAACGATTTTCTAAAGTGAATGTCACATCTCTTATAACCAATAGAAAAGTAGAAAATGGCGGATTGTTTACAAATTTCAATACATTGCACAAAACTTTGAATTTTTTTTAAATACTTAGACGCGTTTCCTGTAGCAAAAATCACTTGGAGGTGTTCCAATGAAGGTCCCCCGAGACTCCTGCATAGTTAGTATCATCAAATAAGTGCGACGACATTTAAAACTATTACCTTAAAATATATTGTAAATGTCTTTCGACTCTTTTTATACTTAACTATAATAATAAAAAATATAAAACCTTTATTCACTAACCGTAGGTATTTGGTATACATTTACATAATTTTAAACTATATAACATACATTTTAATTTTTATAGAGTCTGGTTAATGAAAGAAGTTATCAGCAGCTAGTAGGTCAGGGGGCTTAGTCAAGATGCATAACAGTTGTGTATGTAGAATGTCGAAAACTAAATTTTTGGGCCAGTGCCCCATGTTGTAATTCGACTTAGGCCTCCCCTTATCGTTTCGACTCGTCTCGTCGTTTCACCGGCAGATCGTCTAACTATCTCTTTATTTGACGTCCATCGTCTGAAGTTTATTAATGCGAAAATGAAAACCACCAATATCAATAAAAAATATGTCATAATATTTTAACCAATACGACACAGAGCAAAACATATTGTCATCAAATCAAATCTTTATAGGATGCACAGTCATTCGATAAAGAATTTCTTTTTTTAAGCATTACGTTCATTATGGTATCCAACATTTACTTATCTGTGACAATACTAACTATAGCGCATGCGCGATGATGTGCTTAGTTTTGGCGCCATTCGTACGTTATGTTGTACTGAATTTCATTAATGGCTTATTGTTAAAAATCTAATTAAGGTAAATGAGCCGTGTTTAGGCACATTGGCTACTTCGCTTTCCAAAAACTATTGGACAATAATCCCACAACAATGTAAAAAAAAGGTTTATTTTCTGTTTTAATATTGTTCGTTTTGAAACGGTTTCTTAAAGTATAGTAGTCATTATTCATCCACATACTGTAAATTTACTCTATATGTAAATGCCTAAAATCAATTAAAATGATTACAGTACTATTAATCCTAAAGAAATTAATAACTCATAAAGCATCTAAATTCTATAGTTTTTATCGACAAAGCATTCTTGCAAGATCGCGCCATTTATTCGCACGAACGGTTTGTTATACTTACCTCTCTTTCTTTTGTTCCAGGTGAGGCAGTGTGCCACAGAGAGGGATAGATGCTAAGACATGGCGTCGTGGTTATTCATCGCGGCCGTATTTGCAGCTGCAAACGCACAGAGTAATAGAAGTAAGATAAGTCATTTAACTTAGTTACTTATATATGTAATATATTAGATCCTTACATATCAAATTGGCGTTTTCTTGGGAGAAACAAAAAGTAGTTTTTTTAATTAATCTAAGTATGTACCATTGCTATTTATGCACTTTTGCCATATTTTTGGTAGTTCATTGATGCCTTTACTAAAAAAACCATTTGGACTGGAATCAATAAAATCGTTGAAGGCGGTTTCGACTGCCCCATGAGAGTTGAATTTTTACCTTGCATGAAGTTGTGTTTTCTTTTGCGATATTTCACGTTTTCCATTTTATGAATAGAGTGACGCAAAGAAAAAAATGGGAAAATGAAATGAATCATAGTTTTCGAAAATCAAATGCACGAAAAAATTGAATTTGGAAATTGTAATAATTATAAATATCTTTTATGTACAAGTTTATCAGCCTTTGATTTCCTTTATCGATTTTTCTATCTAGGATGTCATAAAACTAAAGACCCACTGTATTAACTGCGCACAAAGAAAAGTCAACTTTCGTGAGGTCAAAACATTTTGAGATCGTATCTCAGTTGAGAATCATTTTAACAATGGTGTTAGCTGTAGGTTAATTTTAAGAAGGTATGTTATATTTCTTTATCTGGAAATAATGTCTTTATAATGCATAAAATGAAAGCCGTTTGTCAAAATTCAATTTGACAGGTCTCTATTTCTTAAAGTTTTTAATCAACTCAAATTCTTAAACTTTAAGATAACAAAAACAATGAAATAAATTGAAAACTCGTGAAAAACTTTAAACGGAGCCGAAGCAATGGGAAATTTTTCACGAGAAACTTAAGAAATATATCAGATATTCATATTGTGCAACTGACAATCTAGTTTATTTGAATTTATAAAGTTTTTAAGCGATTTCAAGACTTTTATATAATAAGCCCGAAGATAAAATTTGAATTAAATCTTCATATATACTTACACTCATAATTAGGGTTACACCCATTATTTACTTAGTTCCTAATAAGTTGACTAACTACTGAACCGATTTTCATGAAGATTGGTTTAATAGAAATTTGTCTTTAATAGAAGTTTGTTTCCAAGAAACTAAAGGCCCAACCCTTTACGAAATGAAGCACACGTGCTTGGGAGCCTAAATCATCATATGCAAGTCGTGATTGTTAATTATTTTTTTTGAAGTCGGTTAAAGTATATTGTAATTAAAGATTTTGAAAAAAAAATCAGGCTATAGAATCATAAAACCTTATAATTTTAATAACTTTTTTATTTATTTAATTACATGTGTCTTTATATATTAAAGTACTATATTTAAAGACAAATAAATTATTTCAGAAGTTATATCAATTTTGTCTCAACCATTCTGTCATGAATAAAGATTTATTATTAATAATATAAGCGCTCCGACCGGGATTCGAAACCGTTATTCTAGTCGTCACAATCCCGTCATAAAATACCACTGACGATTTATCTTATGTTTTCAAAACAATAAGAAATATTACCAAAACGGCAAACGGTAATCCAATAAAGTACAGACACTAAACGACTCCGGAAATGACGTCACATTTCCACCAACATCCGGCCGCCATTGGCGATAACTTTACGATGACTGTCGGAAGCAGAGCCATTACCGACGCGTTCTCTTATTTATATTTATTGTATATTTCTCTTTTATTGTTGTTTCAAAATTTAAGAATACTCCAAGTCTCCCTTGGTCGAGCGAAGTTATTTTTAACGGAAGAGCTCTTGAAATTTTGCTACTCTTTGTTGGTTTAACAATAAAACAGATTCCTATAAAACTTTATTGTTAGCTTGTCCTTACTACAGTGTGAAAAAATATGCCATTTGACAGTATGAAAAGTTAATTTTATACTTGGAAAATTGGAATTATAATGGGAAATAATAAAAGTAGACTAAGTCTCCAACTAATATTATTATTGAACTCTGTGTCTTAGTGAGTACGACATACATAATACTTAACAATTATTTAGATTTTTTTTTTTTTTTTTTAATATCAAATAATTTAATCTGGAATATAGTGTAATGGTAACAATATTAATAAAATTAAACTTATAAACATAAACTAATAATAATAAAATAATATACATTGAAATAAATAACGAAACTTAACATAAACTAAAATATATCATTAAAAGGAGTCCCTTTAGGCAAGGTTCCGAAGATACTGGCAGCGTTCCCCCTTTGAATTGCTAGACTAATTCTTTGTCCGAGGTAGCTGCCAGATCTTCGGTCTCCTGTGATGTCGACTAACCTTTTTGAAATTTCTTTAAAAAGCCTTAAAGCGCTAGGACCCCACGGACCAAGGGTCTCGACACCGAATGGGACAAAATCATATTCAGAGCCCAGACCCCTGTATTTGCCTGCTTTATTTTTTTCAGCCGCTTCACAAGCCGCACCAGCTCTGTAGTTGGTTCCATGTAGATGGGAAGGGGCCAGCGTGTCTGAACAGGTTGCATCCCATACCAGTACCCGACCCATCTTCCATGGAATCAAACTCATACCGTCCGGTCTCTTGCCATCGTCTCTTGGCTCAAGAAGACTTGGCACGTTGACGGTGGCAAGGGAACGGCGTATGATATCGTTAAGTGCGGCATGTCTCGAGAAGCGGCCTGCACTTTTTTGGCATGACAGGCCGTGATGTCCTAACTTGTCGACATCACTGCCACAGGGACATATATGAGGAGCGCAGACCGGAACCCCAAGCCGTAGACAGGTTGCGATTCGAAGCGTGTCAGGCTCGAGAAAAGTTCCTGTATTTGACGATGGGTAAGCGTGAAGCCAGTAGCCGGCCTCATGCGTGCCCACGGCCAAAAGCCTAGCACGCGCCGAACCCGTACTACGACTCAAAAGATCGTCAAAAGTCAACTTGCAGTGTATGTCATCCCAGCTCCTCTGTGAATTTAGAGATAATGGAAAATTTTGACCTGGGCATGCAATCAAGAAAGCGTTTCTAGCTTCTTCCAAGCCAGCAATCTCAAAGTTTGAAGGGGATGCCCTTAAAATTTTACTTATGAGATTTGCTGAACTATGGACAGAAGATAGAAAGGCTGGTAAAGCGACACTGGAAATTTTGCGAATCCCTAAACCACCATAACGGATGGGTAGGGAAGCTTGGGTCCAAGATTTCTCGTTCAGCTGCATATTAAGAAGTGATTCTAAGCTAATTTTGATTAAGTCGTCTAATGGTGTTAAAATATCTGGGTGATTCCAAAAGGAGCAGCAACGGAGCACATACGTAAATTTTGGGAGGAAAAGACAGAATTTTAAGATGCAAAGTGCATAATGTGGACTAATTTCAAGGAGACGGTCAGCAGAATTTTGAAAATTAGTAATTGAAGTATGAATATAATCAGAAATAGATTCATTAAAAATTGGAGAACCTAAAAGGTAAAGGGAATTCCTGTTAACTATTTTAATATTTGGAGCCAAAATTTGAATTTTTTTTTACATCATTTAAATTTAAGTCGCAGTTATTTATGAAAAGTTCGCATTTGTTAAAATTAAGCTCCAAACCAATGGCTTCAAATTTATTTTTGATTAAAAGAAGGTCCGAAAACACAGTATCCACATCACCTCCTAGGGTTCCGTCGTCCAAATACCAAACATTGAAATTAGAATTTAAATTTTTGATTATGGGATTTATAGCCAAACTAAAAATTGCAGGCCCAAGGGGATCACCCTGTTGACAACCTACTTCCGAGGAAAGTTCATTAGAACGATATAACAATTTAGTTGGATCAGCGTAACTGAGAAGAAGATAATTGTATATTTCCGGTATATGTTGTTTTATTTCAGTCAGCAGGGTATCCCTATTTACCGAATTAAATGCATTTTTCACATCAATTTTGAGCAACACGTCTGGCTGTCCGTGACTTAGGAAAGAGCGTAGGGCATGGACGGCTGCCTCACACCCTCCTTTCACACCGAAGCCTAACTGTACAGGTTCAAATTCTGAATTTAATTTTGGTAAAATATGTCGAACAGCAATTTTGGAAGCCAGACGTCTTAGTGTTGAACCAACAGCAATTGGTCTCACCCCTCCGTCCTTTTTAGTGAGGGCAATGAGGTTCGCGCCGAAAAGAATGGGAACAATTTCTGTATTGACATCCCCGGAATACATAAAATTTATTAATTTTGTGATCGAGTTAATAAGTTGCTCGCCTGCATCACCCACAGAATGCGATGTTAAATCTTTCAAATGTTGGGGTGAGATTCCATCCAATCCTGCTGCCGAACCTGGTTTAAAAGATAAAATTGCATCAGTTACATCTTTGTTTCGAATTTTAAGGCATGCTTGCCCTGCTGTTGGTGGGTCGAGAAAATATGGGTTTACTGGAGCTGGGGGATGTTTAGTCCGTAATGCCTCAAGGGTGTCAGGCGTATCTGGCGATAGCACGTCATTGGAATAACAATTATTTAGATTATATACACATATTAAATAATAGTCTATACACTACACGGTCAGCTGCTGCGAACTATAGGCGCCGCCATATTGGCCTTGGCTGCTATGAGCGCCTTTCATTTTATCCCTACTCCGCGGTCGACCGTCACGCGACATGCAACACACAGACGAAATAGTTTGAGACGATGTAATAAAAGTTTCACTTTAATAACTTGTAAATCGATACCTCCTAAGTATACTGAGTCAACTGACATTTTAGTAATTTTATAGGAGAGCCATTTTAAGGCAAAATGTTTATATTAATGAAATCAAACTAATTCGGAATAAATTAAATGTTTTTTTAATAAAGATAGAAAGCTCTTACTTTGGTATACCATGATTTTGCTGATTTTTTTTTTATATGATATTTTATGTACATGACTTATTATACACGGGCGGGACTCAATAGTAAAATGGTTTAACTACCAGTTATATTCATGTACGTTGTACATGAAAATCCATGGCTTACTCGAAAATATTACGAAATATGATAATCATTTTATTAATATCATACTACTTTTGGTTATTTTCGAAATTTTTTGTCCC